GAAAGAGATCGGAAATCCATTCTATAATGTTTAGCCGTTTTTTCTGTTCCAATGAGAAGCCAATACTAGGTTGCCGTTGTTCGCACCCAGATTGCTTTTTTGAGTACTCCACGTATGAGGTGGGGTCGATTGATTCATTTTATTCTTAGGAGTTTCGTCATCCATTATTGCCGAAATTAATAAAACACATTCCAGTGAATGTCTGTTATGCCGAAATACGTGCACGGACGTTCTACGTAATATAGTGCCTAGAGTGTTTGAGCAATACAGATGCAGATGGTCGTTGATTCCGTCCCGATTCCCAAGCTCACCAGGCTTTCCATCCCTCTGGATTAATAAATTGCTACCAGACTTAAGTTAGCTAAGAGCAATACCTCCCTAATACATCAGTTACCTCCGAAAGTCCTTATGTAGGATGAACTACAAGGATAAACCACTTCAACAATTCTGCGGTGGAATCGAATACATGGCGCACTCCTAATAGAATGATCAGCGTTAAAGCTTCATCTTTGGTTCCTTATGTATGCGAGTTCTTCCAATATGCTTGGTTAATTCTTAATCTACTTTTTCACTGCTCAGCATAGACTTAACGTCCGCCTTAACTAACTTGGGAAAGAATGATGTCCCCTGGTTAACAATTTTCGTGATAATAATAAAGAAAGTTTGACCCAAGTCAAAAGTCAAAAATGAAAACCTAATTTCAATTTTCACTAAAACCTAACGAACACTTTCCATTAAAATGACGAAAGTTCCAGCCATTTCACGACGAAGCTGTTTTTTTTTAGATAACTGGCGTTAACTCCTCGATCACAAAACCGCTTCGAGAGCTGAGATCTATGCAAATTTCTAGAACGTGCCTATCTCTATCTCGCTAATTGCATCCATAGTTATTAACCGTATGCTACTAAAATTGAATTTGTTTGGAATAAAATCGATCAATGAAAATTCAAAAAAGTGATGATGAAATTTACTTCTTCAAAATTTCCAACATAAGGACAGTAGTTGTAACCCTAAACGATACACTACAAAATACCGCCATGTCATTGTGAGGAGTGCTTTATCATCTGCTTTCATTTTTGAAGTATAACCTCCAGAGCAGCAAAGTGGAAGAAACAAATGTCATGGGGATTCAAAAAATCGAAGTACCGCTGTGATAAAGGAGACTTTTATCCTAGGCAAGAAAAGACTTTCTTCTGCAGGTAGATTTGTAGATTTAACTCTTTTTCTTATCAACCATTATTTTCGAGCTTTGTGACCCCTGTAAAGGTCTAGTTGTCGCGTAAACGTTAGTAACCTTGAAGTAACTTACACAACTGATTACCTGCTTCATCATTGCACGGGCATTTTTCAAACGAAATCCATAGCAGCCATTCACTTTTTTTAATGTTTGGGAAAGTTTTCTCTAATAATTCGCTCACGTTCACGACCGACCTTTGTTCACACCATCCATTTTCGATGATTTATTCTCTTCTATGCTCGTAATTTTCGCACTTTCTCCTTTCCACTACTGCTTTCCCCAATCTGCACCATCCAGTTTCCAGATCCCTACTTCGTCTTGTATGCTGCTTTTTTACCTTTTTTCTGGTCTTCTCCTTCCATTGTTCCTAGTACTCACTCCTTAATCCACTCTTCGTTTAATATTCATTTAAAATTCTTCGAACCACGATAGATTTCAGAATATTTTGTGCTTGAATGGTGCTGTTATTTGTGATTAATGAAATGGAGTCGATATTTTGAAGATAAAAAGCAGCAGCGGTTATTATTTCGCGAGCAATTCGTTGTCACCCTCGCTCAATAAATTACCGAGCATTTTGCTCAGCTCCACCTTTCCCCAACTTCTACTAGGTAACTCAAGCTTACACGACGTACAGTCCTCATTATAACTTATGGTGGAAACAGAAAATCCATTAGTATCTATTTATATGTTGCTACGAACTGCCCTTGTTGAGCTGATGCGACATTGGTGTAAGTTGTTGTTGTGGTTTGATGGCCGATGTTTCGGAGATCTCGCCTTCTTCAGAGCCTGGACGTATTCTATGTAACAATATCCTTGTAATGAGGTGAATAAAATCTGTAGTATTAGTGAAGATTTAGAATATAAATGAACGTTACAAATCGCCGAAACAACGGCCATCGACCAGCAATAACAACAACGACAACAACGACAACAACGACAACAGTAACAGTGGAAACATATACCAACCTCGCATCAGCTCAACAAGAGCAGTTCGTAAAAACATGTAAATATATCGATTGCTTAAGCCGGTTTGTAGAAAGTAGGCCTTTTGAGTTATTACTATTTATTTTACACGACCCGTCAACACATCTACTGTGCGAATCCCACCTTTTCTTGCATTCTATTCGTTTCCACCATATTTATCGTCACCGAAGTTCTTCGAACAATTCGCGTATTGTTTCAGATTCTGCTGCAGGATTTCGTCTTCTTTTTATGAATGTCGTAAAATGCCGGGCGAGTGGATCCTTCTTGTAATTTTGGAATAAGCGGGGTCGGGGTGTTTCCACATGGATTGGAGGAGAGCGCTGGAGAGTGGTCGAACCAGCACCTTGCTTCCTGATGGATCACAATACCAACCGCTAAGCCACCGATAGTGTGGCACTTTGGTTTTACGTTCTAGATTATTTTGGAAAATAAAGGGTCTCTAATCTGTGAACATGCTTTGTGACAATTCTTCAAATATGATGAGATTTAGACTAGTCAGACTGTTTCGGTTTTCCTACACATCTTTCAGAAAAAATTCAACGATTTCTAATAGTTTGAATACTTGGATATTTGGAAACTTGAATGGCCGGTCTTCATGAGTTGTGTGGACTCCATCACCACCAGTTTGAATAGATGGTGTCTGACGTTCTTATATTTTATCAAAGTGTTTCTCACATTTTTTTGCATTTTTCCTTCTGTACTTTCTCTCGTATGAATCGTCTCGCCCTCACTTTTTCACAATTTTCATTTTCACAGTATTTTTAGTAGTTATCGATCTTTTCATGCAAAATTTTACGTTTACAACTTTATACTAACGATTTTTATTAATAAGGTCGAAAATTGGTGCATTAATGCACTTGCTATATGTCTTTCCAAAAATAAAGAAAAGATAGTGTTGAAGTTAAAAGTGATCCCAAACACCTCGAGGAAATAGCCATTTGATTTTCAGAGTCATTGCATCCTCCTAAATTACTCTTTTTATTTCACTAAGTATCGATTGAGCAATTTGAACCACATTAACGAATAGCAAATTGAAGAGGCGAAAAACAAAATCACATGCGATGACAGAGCGAAATTCAACTAAAGACTATTACTGGTTTGCCTCTATGACCTAGTAATAAAGACTATTAATGCTTTTATAGTGTCAGTTAGAGTGCGTGCACAGCTGTGGTTAGGAAAAGAATAAAGGATAAAGTTCTCCGCTTTGATCAATCTATGAGCCATGCATCCGACTTCATTAAGCATCGTTGGAGGTGATTGAATGCACATATGGCCTTTACCTTCACTCGAGCTGGCCTACCAATGTACCGAGCCAGTGCCGCTATCCTCTTAGACAAGTCTGGTACCAACTTGCCGACCCCGGAGGAATGGAAGGCTTGGTGGGCCATGGGCGCGGAGATCGACATGTGTGTCACAGGGCGCCTTCGACCACTGCGCCACACGCGCCCTGTGGTTAGATAGACGCTGCTGATGATGCAGACAGGTTATGTCGATGTCTTGCTTCGCGCTAATCGTTCCTCCATCGTGTTTCTCCGGAGGAAAATCGAATCCAGACCGATCTGGAAGGATAGAAACACTCACCTGATACATCTTTGGGCCTCTGAGGTTGCCGTATGGGACATACATGCATTCAATCACCTCTGCAACGCTACGAATTGAGTTGAATGCGTCGCGGTTCTCTAATCGATTGGTTAATTCTGAACGCTTTACGGCTTCCTCATCAAGACCGGTCATCCCGCGTTTTCTTAGCACACTCATCAACTGGTGAACTTTCTGATGTCGAACAGATTCCGTCACCACCAGTCGGTCGTCACATTTTTCTGCTCGAAGAAATCTAGAAGAACAGTGAATGAAATTAAGCACTGATTTCTTCCTCGGCTTTATGTTCGATATTCGATTTTACCAAATAACAACAAGGTCAGTCATCAAATTTTTAAAAATTTTTTCTAACAAAACTGTTACTGGTGTCGTCGTCTGACACAGCTACAGCGTAAAGAATGACTGTCTTCAGCATTCAAGGACTTTATAAGAGATCGCCAATCGACTTAATTGATTTCACGATGTTGATACAACTATCTTGAATTTAACGAACGGATCGATAATTCGTTCATTAAAGCGGTGGTGTGGCATTTTTTAAAAGCCTCCCCGAGATAATATTTTACGCTTTTTGTTTTCTTGGAGTTTAATCGCCCAGTTTTCGAATACTCGAAATGGATGCAGTTATGACAATGTACGTATCGACACCTCTTTACTTGATATTTTGAATTTTACTGAGATAATTCTACGTTTAAGCTTGCAGGATTATGCTTTTTGTGAGTCAGAAACCCTAACGTCTCGCAAATGAAAGTTATGATAATTTTAACCAGTTCATGTTCGTAAATCTTCCTAATTATTTTTTTCCGCACTCATAAAAAAGAAAGAATTAAGAACTCGTTGGGAAGCCATGATTACCTTCGGCATTATCTTTCACGCTTTCTTCCTTCTAAGTACAAAATCGATTGTTGTACCTTGTTATATTTCTTCACACTTCATCGCATAGAAATATTTAGGCAAAAACAGTATTTGACTTTGTTTTCTTACTTTTCTATGATTTGAAACGTCAACAATGAAGGCAGTCAAGTTATTTCAGCCTAGCTCCTCCATGTTCTCTATGTCCTTTTTTGGAGAATTTTTGAAAAATTGAATCCTTAACTCCTTACCATTCAGGGTATCCCTCGTTAGATCGTTGAAAAAAATGAGTTTTGATTGTTGTGGCACTATTCTATGTATTTCTTCTCAGATTAGTCTATTCTTCAATGTGAGCATGCGCGGTGGTGTATTCCAACGCACTCGTCGTCGAGTTCGTCGGACGTTGTTGCTGCCGGTGTTGCTCAGCGTGGCCGCGTTGTTCGCTGTGATCGCTGTGAGCACAGATTTTTTACCAGGTATTTTCCATCAGTCCTGAAATTTTTTCTTGAATTTGCTCAATATAGTACTTCGAAATTTTCGCGGCAGCCTATATAACTGTCGTATGAACATCGCCTTTTGAATAATCCACTCTGCCTACCCACACCTAGCCATCCGTGTATATTCTGTTCCTGTAGCTTATTTGTTTATTTACCTTTGACTCGACTTCACATATTGTGCGAATTCCCGCCCTTCGTTTATTCAGTTTCTTTTGGAATCGTAACGAACTCTTCGGATTTAAGCGTGGATTTGGCTTCCAGGTCTTCCTCTTGAATTTCGCTGAATACTGGTGCAGTTAATTTTCTATGAAATCTCGACATAGCACCACGAGAGCGTTTCCAAATCATTACTGTAGGTAGCAGTTTTTGCCAAGTCGAGACGGACAGGCGAATGGTGATTACTTGATTGATTTGGGGCAGAAATGAACCAGGAACCAGGACCAAACTGCGTGTAGTACCAAGTAGCACCGCGAAGCACAGTGTTTACGAGGCTCTATTCATGCATTTCTACAATAAGCGTAAACAAAGGATGTCAAGCAAATGAACGCTTGTATCTCTCTTAATCATCGAGTTACATGGTCTGACGTCTTCGAAATTCTTATTTGTTCTTATCGTCGATGTCCCCTTTTGAACCATAAAGCATCCCATTATAGTTAAAACCATTGCGCTCATGGGGGCTGACGTAGAGGAAAAGGTGGCGTTCATCGTTCTTTCTTCAATTCCATGTCTCCTTAGTGATTTGTACACCCTCAAATGTTCCAGTTCAGTGGATGATCATATACAAATTATCATGTGGAAAAATTCTGAATAGAAATAAAGCTTTTTGTTTCGTTTTGCTTGCAATCGAATTGCTTGCAGATTCATCCCATCATCGCCATCACCATCGTCACTTACGTCGTGTTGCACGGTCGACGTCATCTTTTGATGAAGAATGTACACGAAGAAAGAACGGTATTAGGAATCTTTTACCACATACAACAACTTTTTTTTGCTACACATTTTCTACAAAAGTTACTTTTTTGTTTTTAAATATTTTTCATGTGTTCGTAGAAAACCAACGGTAAATAAAAGCGTTCCGAAGTGGAACATCGGTTAACCATTGCCGCGAAGTCACTAGGCGCGTTAGAAATTGCATTTCCTTCCAAAAGTCGTCCACTGCAAAATGAGTACGCTTTTTTCTACATTTCTTTCTACGCCTTTCAGTATGAATCAGCCATGTATTTTTTTTAAAAAGACCAGTTCTCATTCCTCTGTTTTTTTTATTCGCATTTTCCTCCTTTTTCTTCCCAACCATTATTATGGAAACTTTTATTTCAAGTGGGTTTTTTGTGCATTTTGCTTAATACAACAACGTTATTATCTCTTTCAAGCCTTCCAGGTATTTTTATTCGAAAATAAGGAAAAACTATTGAAGCTACCTGTTGTAGATTGACGCTTTAAGCTCTCTAGATCAATCCTGTTGACGGGTGATCGCTGACGACACTGATCGATAGAACTAGCCGAGAGACAGTCGAAACGACTAACCCACATGGTCGGTGTGGTGATGAACACTTTAGTCCCCGGAAAGGGTAATTGCGCGTTCGTTCCACACCGCGGACACACGTTCGTTCCGGGGTTTTGCAAATATCTCAGCATCATTGTGGTTGTATTTCGCATTATACCCTGCCGTGAGAAATTATAGCCCGCAGCAAATAAAAAGTTAGCTACTTGTTGTATTTTCCTACCTGTGATTCAGTTTCTAAACATTATCAATTGCGTATTCTTTCTTTGATAAGCTTATACGAGTTAAGCGAAAATAAACATTATTTACTAACCTTGTGTAAGCTTACCAAAGAAGGAATACATATTGATTGGTCATACCGAGGTTAAAGGAAAATCGGCTTTGAAATATATTATCAATTAACAACAGAATAGAATTTTTTAAAATTAGTCGACTACAATTAAGAGTAGCAGGTAAAAACATATCAATATCAATTTTTTAGACAACTATTAGGTTTTTCTTAAAGTTGTTATTTATCTTCACATCTTTCATAACTGAAGGAAAACAAAATGACTTATTTTCACTAAAATGCCTTGTATAAATTAACAACAGTAAAGAGGTAACTGACTAACCTAAAGTTTCAGAACAAATCTTGTTTTCACTTGAAATGGGTTCACTGGAAAATAATGCCCGATTCCAACCTATATTTTCAAAGCGGCATATCTCAGCCAAAAACAAACATTATTAATGGAAATAACAGCCATTAGAATGTAAACAGTTTTGCCAGAGAGAGACAAGTTGACGTATTCCAGCTAAATAATGCTCTGAACTTCTGAAAGAGATGAAGTTGTGTAATGCAATTTTGAAGTTGGTTTAATTTCTAAAAAATTTCTCGCATAGGAAATTGGCAAGAATCTTGAAGTGGTAGCCCATACGGCAATAAGGCAGGAGAATATGGTTAGTAAGGCAGGGTTTCTTAGCTTAGTTTGTTCGATTTCTGCAGGGTCAGTTGTATGACGTGTGAACACGCGTTATTGTGAAGGAGTACTGGTTCCTTGATGTTTACCAACGAGGAGCACTGCCGTTGAGGTTTCTGATGCATGTCGTCGATTTGTTAGACGTACCTACCTACAGTAACAAAGAGGATAGCACAGGGGTGGTGATGTTCGTCATCGCGAAAATAGTGCTAGTCCGATACCGCTCTGGGCCAACCATGCCTGTCATCCCTCCGGGGTCAGAAAATTGGTAGTGGACTTGTCCGAAAAAAAATACTCTCTGCAATCCAACTGAGAACGCTTCAGCCCAGCTATATCACAACTTCGGGGAAAGTTGTTCGACCAACATTCTATAATATTGAAGATGAAATGAAAATTCTCATGCAGCAACCGAAGCCACACGTATAAGTTGGGAGATCTTCGTGGACAATGGATGCGAAGAAAAGAATCGATTGTGAGAGCTGCTTGGATCCGCACAGTAGACGTGAAGACGGACCATATAAAGAAATAAATAAAAAAAAAATGCTGATCCACAGTAAACGTTTCACCCAGACTCAGGAAACTGTGATGGACCAGACATTGTACACAGTGGCTATCTTGATTGTGGCCTAATTCATGAGAAGGCAATTTGTCGAGCTCCGTAAAGTTCAAAATCTTTCTTTTTGACTTGCTTACTTGGATTTTTCTGCAATTTCTCACGCAGTTTGACCTATATTTTCTCCCTCCAACGCCTTGAATTCACCATCTCCGACAATAGCAGAAGATCGTTCACGCTCTCTCTCATCTTCAAGATCGAATTCACTACAAAACCAGTCCTCCACTGCTCATTTGTTAACATCTTGTTTTGTTTTCCTACGTCATTAATGTCTCGAGCCATGTAGCTCCCCTGCAATCGATTTTTGAATTTGTAGAAGTAGATCTGGCAAACTTGCTGTCTTGATGTCTGAAACTCTATTCCTGAAAATTTGTAAGGAAAAGAATAAATTATGTTGCAATTAACTGCACAAGGGGAGAGTTCATGAAGTGAGTTTTAAAAGAAATGTGATGGTACAGCATTAAAAAAAGCTTTGGCCAAAACATATGTTTTTATTTACCGCGAAATATTCTTTCATGGCAGGCTATTATGTGAAATACAACCAAAACGACGCTAAAATATTTCCAAAACTCGCCCATCATACCAGATTCGAACCAGCGACTACACTTTTCGAGGACTCACATGCTACCCACTACACCACTGAGTCTTTATTTTGCCATTCTCTTAGCCATTGCTCTACCTAACAGCTCTCACAACCTACCCTCGGCAATCACCCGTCAAAGGAAATAATCTGGGGATCACAAATCGATAATGAACCCAGTTAAGCTGTGGCTGTAGTCTAAGCCATAATGTATCGTTGTGACCAAAACATTTAATAAAATTACAAATACGTCACAAACATTCGAGCACCTAATGTTAGTTCATTCTTGCCAAGTGTCCCTGTTGAGCCAATGCGATGTAACTCTCAAAAAAAACGACTCTGGAGTGGGGGAAGACCCCGGAAGATCAGCCATCGAACACAGCAAGAACAACAACGACAACTCACATCAACCTCGCATCAGCCCAACAAGGGCAGCTCGTAAGAATATATATACATATATATATATATATTTATATATGTATATCCACTATTTATGCCGAAGTTTATAGAAACCCCACGGCCTCATAGAAACCGTTTTGAGTTATTAATGGGAGTTTACTATTTAGCTACTTTTACCATTTTAACAACGATAATTTTTTGTTAAAACCTTTTGTAAATTATCTGTCGCCATTCAGTGCCCAACTCCTCATCAGAACAATTTCCGCCTGATCTTTTCACATTGGAACAACGTCAGCACGGCGCTATTCTGCTACATCTCGGCGGCCTCGTCTATATGTTCGTCGCCTTAGCCATCGTCTGCGACGAATTCTTCGTGCCCAGTTTGTCCGTCCTCATCGAGATGGTAAATTGTTCTACTTTTCAGAAAGGGTTATATGAAACCTTAAAGAATAGGCAAACACAGAAAACCGGTGAAAACATAGTGTATATGAAATTTAAAGCTACATTATTTTACTATTCTAATTTTTTTGCCATTATTACCTAAAACGCTTTAACGAAGAAGTTGTTAGTCCTTAATTGGTTTAACTTCGTTATATAAATATTAGCAAATTTTATATTTAATAACGTTTCTATTGGTAGGTGAATAGATTTTGGTTTTCCTTGGCGCAATGCTAACACTTCAACTGTGAAACACAAAGGTCTTTTGATCGGTCTCGTACCCTTTAATTGTAAACTAAACTTTAATTGCACAAACTTCAACTACCCCATCTTTCCGAATTCGAAGCATTGGCGGTTGGCTTGTATGGGAAGATAGAAGCACTAGCTTCACACATCAACAAACGAGTGCAAGTCTATGCAAAGTTCAAACATGAGTTCAATCATCTCTGCAAAGCCACAAATGGATTAGCATCAACAGTGTATGTCTCAAAAACGGAACAACACCGAACACCTTTTTCCTAACTCTGGGAAGTAAGTAGCCGCGTTTTCTTCTGGACTTCTGGAGTTCATATGAATTTTGCTCTCCATGCCGAAAGTTGGAAGTGTGTCGATGGTGAAGAAATTTCTAAATCTGAAGTAGAATAATCTAATTCCAACATCTAACCCTTCCATTTAAGCCCAACTCCACAGCCGAGCCAACGAGTTATCGAAAGATTCCATATGAGAAGTGTTATATGTTTCACATCCCACGGGGAAGTAGAGGAATGTAGTGGCCGCTCTGGGTTATGGAGAAAACTTTATGAGCCTGTTAGAACTTCCTGCAATTATTCGATAAAAAAGGGATAAAGTTCTCGGCATTGATCAATCCATGAAGGATGCGCCATGCATTCGACTTCATTAATTATCGTTGGAGGAGATTAAATGCATATCTGGCTTTTATCATAACTCGCAATGACCTACTGATGTATTGAGCCAGTGCTGCTATTCTCCCAAATAAGTCTGGTACCAGCTTGCCGATCTCCGAAGGAAGTTTTGGTGGGCCATGGGCGCGCGATCGATTCCACATGTGTGTCGCAGTGGCGCCTCCAACCACTGCGCCACATAGTTATTCGACAGCTAATGGTATTCCCGGTGAGGTAGATATATAAGCAAATCCTTCCGGATTTGTCTGCTATCAGTTTGCTAGACCACAAAGTGATAGGCGCTTCGTTCATTTGGAGAGAGTGGTCGAACTAAGGACCATACGTGTTTTGCAGATTGCTAATGTAATAATTGTTAGTCATGGCAATAGGCTGTATAAAAGAATCGCACACCGTAGAGAAATCTACTCTCCCGGACTTTGGTAAATTACATTTGAAGTATTTGAAAGATTTTTTAAGTTTAAAATCTCCGAGGATGTTGCGGGCGCAACATTTATGGCGGCCGGTGGCTCAGCACCTGAGTTCTTCACGTCGGTGTTCGGTGTGTTTGTTGCACAAAACAATGTTGGTATAGGTACCATTGTTGGTGAGTACTTTTTCCGATGTAGTTACTTTTTTTGAAAGCCTAGAGTCTTTTGCTAAAAAACTTTACAAGCCTAGTGCTTTTTTATGCCTTATTCTACGCTGTTTTACAATATTAATAAGATTCGGCAAATTAGTGAAAATACAAACGATGCAGTGGACCTATCTGCCGACTGCGAAATCACAGCTAAACAGCTGCTTTACCAATGTCGTCACTTACTATTAATACCCGAGTAAAGCTATAAAACAGAAGGCATATATGAAATACGAGAAATCGCGCAGAAAGCGATGAGAACGATAATGACTTTGCTAGACGTGGAAACGGTGACAACTAATGAAAACTGACTAGACCGCACTTGAACGAATAACGGATTAAAAATGCTTCTATTGCAGGTAGTGCAACATTTAACATTCTGTGCGTACTGGCATTCTGTACGTTATTCTCACGAGAAGTTTTGCATCTGACATGGTGGCCTCTATTCAGGCGATTTTTTTTCTTTTTGTTTCTTTAACACCTCATCTTGTATCGACCTGTAAGGTTTCAGCTCCAGAGAAGTTACTAAGAAGAATGCTCAGAGGCTGAAAGCGAAAGAGTGAGAGAAAGAGGAAGAGAGGGATAAAGGGAGGGAGGTATTACACGGAATGTTAAAAGATAGTTCGGTGTTCATTTAACGGTCATCAGCATCAGTCATAAATTTCCATACAACTATTAATAACTGCCAGAGGAGTGGAGCACAATACTTAGAGTTACCGTGCAATACAAAGTGACTTTGGTTAGATCCGGCGCACCCGAGATACAAAGCTTCCCATCCATTCGAGCTCAACAAATTGGCACCAGACTTGTCTGCGAGAGTAAAAGCGCTGATTTGGTATATCGACAGGTTACAGCAAATCAATTTATGACGTAGATATGCATTAAATCACGTCTATGTTGCTACAAATAGAGCTGAATGCATGGGGAATCTCTAGAG